GAGTCGAGCCATATCGGCTCGAAACAAATCGAATTGAGTCGAGTCGAGTCGAGTCGAATCGAATCGAATCGAATCGAATCGAGTCGTATCGTATCGACGAGCGGTCAATGCTCGACTGACCTCAACAACAGTAAAAGTGACAAACGGCTCGGCTTCTCTCGCGTCGAAGTCGGTCGCGGAACTTGATTTCTCGATTCTCGGTTCCACGCTCTATCCTATCGAAGCGATCTGTTCAAAGTCGATTTTAGGTCCCGATTTGCTTATCGGTAAAAAATATGCTAACGTTGTCCCGCGCGAGCTTCGACGACCGTCCGGCGAGCAAACGCTACCGTGCTTGAAATTAGAAGGAAATCGTTGCATAACGCAACGAGAAATACACCGAAATATTGTTACTCTCCTGTCGCGTCGCGTCGACCTTACGGGCAGAGCTTTCGCGTTCGCGGCTTCAACTCGCGCTTCCGTTCCGATCGAATCGTGATCCTCTAAACTGTAGAAAACCTGTACGAATGTTAATTAAGATTTTACGCGTGATCCCGTTGAATTTCGCGTCGTCGCCTTTTGCCTCCGTCGAGCCGTTCCTATGACCAGCCATTTACATTGATCGATCGATCGGTATGCGACGTACTGCGCACTCGCTCTTACCTTTCGGATCGCATGATCCAAACCTTCGAAAGGACGTTGACCGGTGTTGTACCAAGAGTACGGCAAGTGTATCAAATACTTACGCAGCCACGCATTACGTCGCGTGCATCGTGTGTGCGTACGTAAAACGCAGAAAGACGCGACATCGCTCGCGAACGCGTACATAATGGAGAAGGAGAAAAAGAAAGGGAAGGATAACGAACGAGAGGAAAAAAGAGAGACAGAGTTTTCTCTGCTATGCGTAGAGGCCACGTGCCTCTGCCTCTTCTAATACAGGTACTTGTACGTATACGCGATACAAACACTCGATTCGAAATGGAATAGAAGAAGAGTTGGCGCGGTGAGCAAACGAAATCCGAAGCGAATAGGAAACGCAGAAATACTCTGTTCGTCGGTCTGCGGCGACCAACACCCTCGCCGAAACACGCCATCGATGCGTCCTCGCGTTCCGTCTACGCTCTTGGTCAGCTGAATACGAGATTCCCTGTCCCGTCGTTTCTTCCCTGATCGCTTTAAATTCCTAAGCTCGAGCTGAAAATTAGTGCCGCGTTAGTGTCTCGGACGAAAAAAAACACCTCGCTTAACCACCGAAATGCCGACGTTCTAAAGAAAATCCCATCTTCCGAGCATGTTTTTGCCCTTTCGAGATCGCATTCTTCTCGCGACTTACCCTCCGCGACTTTCGCTCGGTTTCTTCGAAGCCGAAACGGAACGATCGTGTCCGCCCTCTTCGTCGAATCGACTCCTGTGCGCGAGAAACACGATGTCCAACGACCCTGACGAGCCAATCGACGTTACGTCATCGTGGCGACAGATATAGAATCACTGTCACTTTCAGTGTAAGTAAGTAAATACGCAAGCGCAACTCATAATCCCTCCTTTGTTCTTTCCACGTTTCTACCTTCGATTCACCTTCCTCTCTTCTCCTCTCTTTCGCTCTAATTTACTCGGTTTTACGCTCTCTCCCCGCCTGGCCAACGAAATTATTCTATAAATTAGTCTATAAATTAGTCTATAAATTAGTCTATAAATTAGTCTATAAATTAGTCTATAAATTAGTCTATAAATTAGTCTATAAATTATTCTATAAATTAGTCTATAAATTAGTCTAGAAATTAGTCTATAAATTAGTCTATAAATTAGTCTATAAATTAGTCTATAAATTAGTCTATAAATTAGTCTAGAAATTAGTCTAGAAATTAGTCTAGAACGCGACAGAACGAAAGAGTCTGCGCGGATGAGAGGAAGAAATCGAAAGGCGCGGAGTTCGTAATTGCGCGCAATTGCGGTTACGTTCAATAAATAAGCAGGAATGGGATATCCTTGTTGTCAGCGTATAATTCCAGGGACGAGTTACGTGGCATCGAACTCGACGAGTTTGTTGTTAGACTCTAACTCGGTTGCGCTGCTGCACGGTATACGTCGTGCGATACAAACATACGCGATTCAACCGCACGCGATCGTGGACCGATCTATTTTCTTCCAGCTGCGCTAGCTTAACAGCTAATCAGATAGAAATCTAACGTCCCATTGACGATTCGCGTCTCGCGCCGCGAACAAAAGGAATCGTTCCGAGGGCTGGTTGGGCGCAGCGTCAAATAAACATGTCCGATCAAAGAGAAGCGGACACCCATAATCGTATGTATCTGGGTATTTAGGTAGTCTCCGTTTGGTAACCTTGGTTATAACCTCATTTCGAGAGTATGGCGCACGCAGAGTCGACTCTTGAACCACGAATCACGAGCAACGCTCCTTGTCCGAGGTTCGATCAACGAACTCGTACTCTCGTCATTTTAAAACTCGGGGAATATCTCCGACTGTTCGCGAATATCTGTCCCACCGGTACGATCAACGATTTTTCCCCTATGCTTACGTATCTACGCGCACGCGCGCACCCGATCCCACCTTCGTGCTTTCGAAATTCGTTACTTTGCTTTTACGTAACATTCTTTCGATTCACTGCCATTGCTAATGTCCGTTTCACGAAATCTACAAATTGTCCACGCGAACGGCCATCTATACCCGCTTCGCCGTCGCGTCGACTCGATAAAATCGAGCAAAATGAATGAACGCTGGATATCGATCCTCGATCGTGATTTGTTCGACGAAACAGAAAATCTGTAACCTCGTCGAAAGACGAACGATTCGGCTGATGAAAATTTACAAGTTCAAAGCATATTCGAAGATGCCGCGGCGTTTAAGCGTGGTGCGCGAAGCAAACGCACTGCGGGCGTAAATCGTTGACGAAACAGAAGATTGGTCGTGGGAGAAAATGACAGGAAGCATGATCGCCTTTAAGAGTACTCGTTGAACACGTAACGCATTTCCTGGTCGAGGATCGTGAAAATAAAGGTGATAGAATTCGTGGTTGCGAAAACTTATTAATAAACTTGAAAGTTTCGTTTGGTAACCATCGATTACGTTATTTCTAGTTAACGCGAAAATCTGAAGCACCCTCTTCGAAACATCCTGTCCGAAGCCGAGCTGCCTCTTCGAAACTCTGTCATCGTTGCATCAACGACCGAACAAATTCATGTCGAACCGAGGGAACGTGCATGGATGCTGCTTCGGGTACAGCATCGATCCATGCAACGACCAAAGTAGCTGTAGCATATCGGCGACGCCAACGTCTTGCTACGTCTGCCCTGCAAGGTCTCCTCGGCAGATTCGTTCAGCAGGCCCGATTCCTCGACCGACCAAATGGATACCTTGCTGCATTCGTAAATACAATTGTCCCTGTGCGGCTCACGCGAAACCCAGACCTTTTATACGTTTCACCGATTTTGATTTACTCTCTCAATACTGAATCGTAAACTTGCTCGATGAGCGAATAATCGCGACACACCTCTCTTAAGCTGTTCAACGGGCAACATCCTACTCGTACCCTTATCGAGTCGCGCGAACGCGCGTAAGATATACGAAAGCGAACATGATCGTTACGAGCAGCAACGATATTTTAGTAATCTTGGAAACGATATTGCGCATCGTGCTACTACTCGGAAGTCGAAAAATACTACTGTTTGTCAATTTCTCTTGATTCCGTGATACTCAATAAACTTTCCGAACTTCTCTACGAATACTCCATACGTTTTCCTTCCTAACCGATCGAACGAATGCTACGGCCGATTCGTTTCGCTCGACGAGGAATTTCCAAGAAACGCGGATGAACGAGTCATCGCGACGAACAATAAAGGGAAGATACACGATACGTACGCGCGTCCACCGATCACAACCTCGACAAACCACTTTCCCTTTCCCCGGCTGTAGTAGTTCCGCGCCGTGCCACGCCGCTCTGCTCGTACTACGTGGACGCGGAAGCTTCGCGCCACGCTAGATCGATCGATTAACCCTGTCTCTGCTCTCTTTCTTTCCCCTTCTCGATACAAATCTGTCCGAGATGACGCGAATTCGAGAAACGATGCGGTTTCGTACGCGCCGTTCAACACTCGACGCACCCCTCGTTCGGCGTACTCGTTTACCCTTGATCGAGTTCTTTTTCCTCCTGCTAATACATAAAAAATCTTGAAAACAGACGTTTAAAATACGAGGAGGCCGTATTTTAGTTCATTCGCGATTCGCTCGCTAAAAATTCAGCTTCTACCAAAAATCTAACAGACTGCTTTGCATCTATAGAGAGTTCGCTTTCACGCCCGCCGGGCTTTTTCGTCATTTACCCGGTAACTATTTCGGTCGTAATTCGTAACTCGAATCGAGGAACTATTTTGGAAACGGCCGTTAAACCTGTTCGTAGGCATTGCGAGAATTTTACGTGTAGCTCGATACGCGACGCTTTCGTTCCCCGAGCGTTCAAAAACTACCTACATTAGCCGTGAATGTAGACGGAATGGAAAGCTCCAGAATCGTTTCTTTCACATGCGTCTACTTACATGCATGTACACGCGTAGTCGAATTCGTGACCTTGACCAACGAAAATCAACCTTTACCGCGTAGTCGAACATCTTCTGGTTCGCGCGATTCCACGGCCGGCAACGATGCCGATGATTTGAATACGGACAAAGTCGTCAGCTTTAACTCGACGACATAGTTTTAGATCGAGCGAATGCACGAACACAACGAATACAGGGTGGAAAGGGCCGCGATACGTGCGTCAAGACGCCTGGCGCCTACGTATCGAGCGGTTAGAAACCTGCACCGACACCGCATCATCTTGCTCGTATTCGGAAAAAAAAGAACGCGGGCATACGGCCAAAAACTGCCACTGCGGACAAACGTGTGTCAACCTATTCTCTTGGGATCCTTCCGAGACGCTCGTTTTATCGCGCTTTTCGCGAGAGGAGAAAACGATGGAAGAAACCGCAGGGAAACGTAACGAACGAAGAAGAGAAACGGAAATCGACGACGCTGACTGTTATCGATGACGAATGTCGCTGTCCCGGTAATCTCTGGCAAATGCCGGTACCGATACCGACGCGAGTTTTGATACATCGCTCGCGATGATACACCTACGATCCATTGCGTAACACGTTCAAGTCACCACACGCACGGACTGGGTCTCACTTTCAGCGTGTCAAGGACATCGGCGACAGACCCCGTCGGCCTAATTCCGCAAGATCGTTGCCAGGACGAGCGAACGTTATCGTCATCTTAACCGATCTACTCCTCTCTCTTTCTTTTTCTCTTTTTCTCTTTTTCTCTTTTTCTCGCTCTCAATCCTCGGCCTACCCTTCTCGAAATTCTATTTCAATTCCATTTCAATTCTATTTGAACGGAAGCGGCGAAGAAACCGAACGAAAATTTGTCGCCGAGAATGCGTTGAAAATGATCCTAGTCGGCGAAAGATGAGTAACGATTAACTTGGGGAGAAAGAGAGAAAGAGAGAGAGAGAGAGAGAGAGGGGAGGAGGAGGAGGAGGTATTCGTTATTCGCGCGCGCCACGAACAGAGATTTTCTTGGCTCACAGGAAAGTACCCAACGATAGACGCGTTGTCCTTGACACGACGCGAACATACCGTGGTCGTTGTCGTCGTCCCAAGTATTCGAATGAATTTTACTGATCGGGCGCCGAAAGTGAAACACGGACTGGCTATTTAGAGACAACGTGACTGGAAATTTTTTGGTCGAATAACTTGTTGGTCAATCGACGAACGATCGCCACGACATTTTCCTTCCTGATCGACCTATCTTTCTCTATCTCTTCCTTTCTCGGATCGAACGCTCGATTGGTCTAGGTTAGGAGGCGTTTCCCTTTTCCTGATAGGCGACCGATCGCTTTCTATCACAAACGCATGAAAAGAGAAAACCATCTTCGGAAAGAAGCGCGTACTCGTAAGAAAGATAAACGTCGTCAACGTTGAGATGCCAGGTTCGCCGGTTACGTAACGTAGAAATACGTTACGCGTAAAAGTCGACAAGATCGATTTGAAATAAAGGTATATGGAACGAAATAGCGCTAGCGCCAGCGAAATACGGCTCTCGTGACACCCGATGGAAATTACGTAATTCGCAAATCGCCGTACACGTATCTTTCGAAAGCATCCGTTCGTTGGTATCGAGGAAACTTTAGTTGCCGTTGAATTTCTGTATTCCTCGATGATTCTGTTAAGCGACGATACGACTCCGATGTCAGGATATACCCTCGAAACAAGGAAATTCCAAAGACACAAGAAAATTTCAAAGTTCGCATCTTGTAAGCTATATTCTGTAACCTGTATGCCAATAAAATACCGTCCTCGGTATCGTACAATATCTTGTTACGAATAACCCGTTTCTTCATCGCGTCTACGCGTCGCGCGATTCGATGGCAAAATCGTTTCAAAATCATCTGTTCGCGTGTCGTAATCCGTGTAACTGCTTGATCTTGAATTCCATACGTGACGTTCCTCTGTGCGAGCCGATTTTCTTCCTTCTACACTCGTCATCGAGTCGAAGCGTACGTTAAACGCGGGTGATCTCGTACAGGTTCTCCTATTTAACCGGCTACTGCAAAGCGTAGAATCGTGGAATCCTACGATTTCGTCGTTGCATATTTATTAGTCACCGCGAACGGCAATGATCCACATAATCCCGTATCGTCGGACGTCATCGCGTCCCATCGTCCACGGATCGGTTTCTGCGTTGCTCTTGCGAACAAATGACGAAACCCGTCGAAAGAAATTAGATAACGCGTAGAAACGCAAGAATGGCCGAACGAAACAGCCGATCGAGCAGTTTCTCCGAACGAGCCTCGTTCGAACAAAAACAAAGGATGAAACGGAGAGAAAATCGTAGGAAAAGGCATCGCGAGTCACGAACAGACAAACGTAATCGGTGCAACTCGTTTCTCTGTTTTCACGATCAGGTTTACCGTCAGACACTTACTAGCCGTGTCGCTGACACTGGCATTGGCCTACTCTCTCCGGTGTGGTTCGTTCTCCCGGCTTACCTTCGTAGTCTCGCTTTCTTTCGTATCCTTTCGTCTTATCGTAACGCGTTTTATCCCTTCCCCGTCATTCGGATATAATCGTGAACAATTTCGAAACTCGATCGAATCTCGAAGCCAGGCTATACGGCACGCGAACCGTACGATAACGAACACGCTCGAGTAAGGTTAAGAAAAAATCGGCAAACGTACCGAATCGAATCGATGTCGCGGTACGCGAGAAAGGACCTACGTCCGCTTAACGATACGGAGCCTACCATCGCTGACTCGTCAAATAAGATCGGACTGAGAGACACAGTCATCCGACAGAGGCAGAACGCATGATACGAATCGATAACATACGATCGAATAAATAAAGACGTTCTCCGAAAGATCGGCCGCGAGAAAACGATACGGCCGTTTTTCGATACGACCTAGTTTTCAGTGGGAAAAGTCGTTCGTTTCGTGTACGTTCCCGAATCGAAAGGCGCGCGCGCAAACACGCGCACATTGCTACGAATGCCGCTCGAGCCCGCGACTGCCCGTCTACCCATTATTCGCGTATCGATAACTTACGCGAGCACGCGAGTGTATACGTGGCCAACCGAGACCGAGCCGATGGGTAGGCGGGTAAATAAGCACGCGAACGTGCCGTCTCCGATCGGAAACTTTTCTTCGAGTAATCGTGGTTCACGATCGTGGCAACGATCAAGGATCGAAAGCAAAATTATCGAACGTAGCTTAGCGACGGGACAGCCGGTTCGAAAGCGGTTAATCGTCGTGGCTTTCGTTCGAGGACGTCGAAAAGTTCGGAACAATCGAGGAAACCGAGCCGTCGAGACGCTTCGGTACGCTACGGGACGCGACGCGGTGCAACGACCGGCCGTCAAGTAGGTCGGTTGTGGGCGCACGCAATCGTCGCAACGATTTTGAAAAAGCGACGTTCCACTTTTACATGGGAGCACTTTCACGGTCGCTAACCCCACGGCAACGAATCTTACCTTGTATCCTGTATATTTTGCGTTATTACCTATATCGTGTCGCGGCAGCCACCGGGACACCGCGTTTTCTCGCGTTCGCTACTTTCCAACGAAAACGTTCTTTTCCTTCGTTTCCAGTTCGTTTCCAGTTCGTTTCCAGTTCGTTTCCAGTTCGTTTCGGATGCGATCGATGATACCCGATAACTACCTATACGCATCGTTTCTAATAGAAACCGTTAGACACTCGACCCGATTAATCGATCAAAGGATTTCGCCGATATTACGATCGATTAACTCTCACGTTTATTCCATTACTCGCCGCGAGAAAATTACTTTTCTCGACGCTCAAACTTCCTACATACTTTTATTTTACGATATTTTCCCGAACACGAATTCTCCCTCGGCAATAGAATCTAATCGACTCGCTCGATCTCGTTGCAACGGTTTCGCGGTACCCTGCATTTCAAAGGTTTTCCGAAGCCTCTCTTTGCGCGTCCGAAACACGTCCACGTTTCATTGTTCTTCTGCCTTTTTAATTCGCTCCGGATAACGGAGAAATATACAATAATGCCGTAACTTCGACGAAGCATCTTTTCTATATACGATATCGTAATCGTGTCGCGGGAAAACATTGTTGCTCAACCTTGACACCGCTTACGAATCTTCTGGACTCGCGAACGTACGCGCTATTCGGTTATTAATCGATCGCGTACCGTCGCGTCGCTTCGATCTCGTCTCGCGATCGACCAGTCGAATCACTCGATGACACCGTATCCAATTCGAGTATCTATCGTCAACCGTAATTATTTATTCGCGTAACATGTAACTCTACGATAAAGACCGATACACCGCAACCGCGATACAACGATCCTAATTCTCGAAGAAAACGACGTTTCGAATGCATTCTCACCCGTTCTTCGACGAAGCACGGTATCCCAGCAACGTTTTATCCATTTCCCTTTCGTCGATCAGCACTACCTCTTTCGGACAAGCGCGTTTCGTTTGAAACGTTTCAAGTCGTGCTATCGGATTCGCAAAGTTCGTAACGAATAACCTTCGTAAAAGAAGTAGGTCGTTAAGACTGTTAGCGAGAGTATTTTTTTGTTCGGCAACGAATATCCGTACCGTTGTTCGAACGGTATAGCGATACTTAGTTCGAAATTATAATCGAATACCGAGATTCGTCGATTCATGTTCGATCTCGATCCGATCAGATCCGATCGAACGATCGTAGGATCTTCGAGTCGTAGAGGGTGAACGAGAAACGAGAGGGAAATAAAGTCGAAGAGCAGCAAGAGACGGTAGTGCGGATGCGCGACGCACGACTGCATGCGCCGCTGCAGCGACGCCGTAGTACCGCAACCCGCCGCGCCGTCCAACCTCGTCCCGGCGCCACAGTCTCTCTCTCTCTCTCCGTATGTGCGGAGCCGGCTCAGCATAGTTCGGCTCAGCTCGTTCCTATCTTCCTTCCCTTTAAACTGTCCGTTACATCCGCGACGCTTTTGGCACATTCTTATAAAATGGTAAGTCATGAAATTCCAGTCTATCCAGTCTATCTGTTTGTGCTTGTTTCGACGTACGCGCAGCTGTCATTGTTCGATGCTGATTCGAATCGTTTCGTCCGTTCGACGCGAAACTCGCTGAAACCGTTCGTCGAACGATACTCGATAATGACCGCTGTCGTATCCGCGATCGCGAATCGTCCCTTTCGACGAATTACTCGAAAGCGACTTTAACGTTTAACGAAGATCAGTTACCGATCGTACTTCTTCGCTAGTTTATTCGTTTGACTTTGACGCATCGTACGGCGACGTGTTTGCGCGATCGGGAAAGCAACGCACGCGCCACGGCGCAACGGCGCGACGACGCATCGGCAGGACGGAAAAATGAATAACGAAAACAAACCTGAAATAATTTCATTCGAATGTTCGCCGAATAACCGCGAGATAGCACCACCTCCTGACATCGCGGTCTCTCGATATCGAGACTGCTATGTCGCGTCGCCTCGTTTATCCTGTGACGAGGAAACGAAATTTCAATCGCACTCGATTTCAAAAATACTCCGATATCGTAAAGGCAAACACTTTTTTAGGTACTCGCCGATACAAATTTGACGAATTTAATTCACGACCAACAGCAACAGTCACGGTGGCGACAACCTCAACAGCAGCAGCAGCTGGAACAGCAACAGCAGCAGCAACAACAGCAGCAGCAGCAGCAGCAACAACAACAGCAAGAACATGAACGACAACTATACCAAGATAGACGTGGATACGAAGGTAGTAAAGCGATATCGAAAGAACGAACGGATCGACGATGCAAATCTATCGAAAATGGAAATTCGCAAGAGATATTCGTGACGAATCTAGTGGACGGAGAAAACTTATGCTACAGTTTAGCTCTCGTACGAGGTCGAGCACCGACCGCGTGCGGCTTAATCACGGTGAGAAATCAAAAGAACCAAAGTTCCGAATGGCCGATCGTTGCCGGTGAATTTCGTGCGGTGGTTGAATTGACGCGGGGTCCGAATAAATTGGAATTAGAGGCAACTGGAGTCGGAGCCGGGTTTGGGTTTGGACTCGGCCAGAAGAAAACGCTACTTTTGATCCACGAACCGAGAACAACGCGGTTACGAGTAACACCCGTTTACGTGATCTGTGCCGGTCACGATGGATATTTTCAGGGTCCGCGGAGCGAGGATCGTTCGCCGGAGAGCGCCGCGACCAGGATAGGTTTGGCCGCTCGACTTTTGCAAACTCTCACCGCGGAAAAGTTACGAGAAGCTGGTTACGGGAGGAGAACGTTTCAATTGGAACGAGACTTGGACGGAGCCGAGTGCTTGGTAATGCATAGTACGCTCGACGTTGATCGAGCGCGCGGTATGAATCAACGAGGACTCTGGGAATTGATCGCTCGAGAATTAATGACCGGTCCTCTGGCATCGAAGGATAGAAAATATCTGGCATTTCTTTCTTGCACGAGATACCGTGGTGCACCGAATCCGCGCACTCACGAAGATACCCTCTCCAGAACACAAGGCCACGTCGCGCTCGGCGGTGGAGGATTAGCATTGTTCGGTTCGGCCTGCCTTCATACCTGGCCCACCTGTATCGCTCAGATATTACCGAGATTCCTCGACGCTACCGTCGTCGATACCGAACAGTTAATGGACGATAGCAATTATCGCGGCACGCACGCCGGATGCCTCGCCACGACTCTTGGCTCGGTTCTCCACGAACTCGGTCACACCTTTGATCTCGGGCATACTCGCGAGGGCATAATGGGTCGCGGATTCGATTACGTCGATCGAGTGTTCGTCGGCCCGGCCGGAATCGATTGTAATCGCAATCCGCTGGTACGAAAAGATCCTCAGCACACGACGATCGCGTTGACCCGACCGCTCAGTGTCACCGTCACCGTTGCCGTGCAACAATCTTTCGCTCTTTTAACTGCTCCTCGAAGAAGTCGTTTACGTTCCGAAACCTCTCGACCTTCCTCTTCCTCTTCTTCTTCCCAAAGTCCACCGCGCTCGCTCGGACGATTATCCGCGCCCGCTAGCCCAGAACTTAATAGGTCTTTCTCCAACAGTCTATCGCAATCTACGCTCGAACAAACCGCCGGCCTTTACAATTTAGAAACAGATCGAACATTTTGGACGCCTTCTTGCGCTGCCTTTCTTGCTTATCATCGATGGTTCAACGACCAGACGGACAACGTTTTTACTCGACCATTCCATGACATTGAATACGACGGGAAAAGGTAGTAAAACGAATTATCTCGAAATTTTCCCTCTTCTTCTTCTTCTTTTTTCTTCCCTTTCCCTTTCTATTTCCCTTTCTCTTTCTCTTTCCTTTTCCCTTTCCCTTTCCCTTTCCCTTCCCCTCCCCCTTCCCCTTCCTTCCCTTTTCTTTCTTCGTTCATCATCCCTCTTTTCGCATATTTTCTTTCTCATCGTCTCTTACTTAAACAATTTTTAATTTATTTCAAACAATTAACTTTCAATCAATTTTCATTGAACTCTTTGTCTTTTGTTATCGCAGGAACGTGGTTAGATCACGTTTTGGAGTACGAGTTATAGAGCTCAGGGAAACATCGGGAGAAATGGTAGTTGGTTCCCGACAATTTCCAGGCTCTCGACCACCCCTGGAAGCGTTAATTCCACCGACTTCGCCCCGCTGTATCGCCGCTTTGACTCTCGTCGCTGAAGATTCAGCCGGCAACATACTGAAACATCCTCTTCCGACAGCCTTTTAAATGCTCTCGACCCTTTAAAGTTTTTCGCGCTTTCTTCTTTTCCTTTCTTCTTATCGTCCTTAACGCTTCGAACTTCAACGTACTACGTTTCTTCCGTAGCCGTCGATATTACCGATATTATTAAGTATATTTATTTAATGTGCTATGCTCGAGCATAAATATTCCAGATTTTATCGGCTCTCGCGAAAAATATTTTGATAGCGTATTCGTTACAAAACGAAAAAAACTACAATGTTCTAAGCTAGTCCTTATCTTCCTAGTGATAATAGATGTATTGAAGCGAACGAACAAAAGTTCTACAAATAGATGATATATTAGAATAAGTATGCGTGCATGTTTGCGCATATGTGTGTGTGTGTGTGTGTGTGTGTAAGAGAGAGAGAGAGAGAGACAGAGAGATATATGCCTTATATCTGTTTTCATGTATTCGTAAAAGTTTGAAATTGTATAGGAATTTTATACGATGCTACCAATCATATATTTTAATAATTGCTGTAATATCTTTTGTAAATAATCGTCCCGCTCGCAATTTTATCAGGCAAAACTAGAAATACTCGAGTAAATAATACATCGTCGACAAAAACGTTTGTATGTACATACGTACAGGTGAATGAATGCATAAATAATTACAATTGCAGTATAGAATAACAACCGCACGATTGATCCGATCGGCGAACATGTTAACTTTCGATGTACCATATGAAAACTAGGATGCCTCGTCGAATACGATAGTACAAGATACACGGTGAACAGGAAAATTAATATTATAAGGTGCTCGATTAGCATCTTACGATAGTAGTATTATTAATCGTTAAGAGAATCTTAATAAAAACGAGAAATCATATGGTGCCAGTTAAACGAACACGATAATCAAAATATACCTGCAGTAAATATTTGTACGTGTTTGTACATTGTCATTTTCATTATTATCACCGATATAGTCATCGCTTTCGTTTTCGTCATTTTCCTGGTTTCATCGAACATAGCTATCGAATTGTTCACAAAAAAAAGAACGATAGACAATAAACGGAATTATATCCAGCGATTGTGACATTTTATTGCTTTTTTATTTTCAAATCAGAAATTTTATATAACGTATTATAACTTGAGCATAGTCAGCGCGCACGATATAGTGAACACAAGGAAGAATTAAATGCGTTCGTATAACTTGAATTATTTTTATAATTATTCAAACTACTACATCGATACTAATGTAAATAAATATGTAGTATAATTGAAATTAGGTTAATTTTGTAGTACGCAAGTATGCTGTCACCTACCTCGAGCAATGAAAATTACCAAGGTATGCTAGAAAGTGAAATGAAACTTCTGTTCCCAGAAATCGTTGATGAGAAAATAAGAACTCTCGAATTTTTATCCGCGGCACGTGGCATTGTACGTATCATAGGTACGTATCGTGTGCGTTACATTCGTACCTAATATTTTCATGGACATAACCCATATTGACTAAAAATATCTTCAGATAAACTCGGCAAAGTTTTTGCTCCTGTTAAACATGATATTCAGGGTAACATTGACGTAAGTTTTAAAAACACTAATCCAATATTGACAGATACCAATTTATACACTTAAATTTCGTTCTAGAAACTCGCTAAAAGACACGCAATGGACAAAAAAAAAAATACGACTCTACAGGACATGATTTTAATCGAGAAAGCTACCGAAGTCAATTTAATTGCTACGGATGCTTTAATGTGGTTGACCCGGTACTCGTTTTACTATGCCCTTGTTTCTTTTCCCTTCTTACATCTTCCTTCTCGCTTTACACGATTCGATTCGCTAGATGTAATTGTACCTTTTATATCTAACGAATATTTTCTACGAGATAACTTATGCAAATTTCTTTTACAGAGGATTACACATGTTATTATTATTTTTTGAAAGTATCGTTGAAGATACTAAAACAGGCACACCAACGGAAGATTTAGTAGCATTTCTGAAAAAGGCTTACAAAGAAGCCTTAGAACCGTATCACGGATGGATGGCACAACAACTTTTTGACGTAAGTTCGTATTTATTCGCGAAGAATGTATACGCGTAAAAAATATTTCATACATTTTTCCAGTCGGCACAGTTTTCTCATTATATTTTTTATATCTTTTTCTTCTCGGTTAAAAGATAACTAAATACGTTCATTAAGCAAATTTGAAAGGAAAGAAAAATATGAACGACATTTTAATCCCTAATACTATGTTGAATGTATTGATCAATGTATTAATTATTTAATCAAATTTACTCTTTGTTTTTCAATAGTTACTTTCGCGTATGGTACCTACGCGTTCGCAACTCTTACGAGCACTTACCAATGAACAAGATGATACGCATGGTATTCTCATTAATGACATGGAAATCTACTTGAGGAATTTGCGACATAATGTAACAGCGATACAGTTATTTTATAAAATTCATAATCTTGAAAATATACCATAGAATATACTAGTAGTTAGCTTTGTTGTAGATACACGCTTAAATTATTTACTACTAAAGTATGTTTCGTCAGAAATATGCATTAACATAAAACTAGGATAAATATCATTTTTGACAGATATAAAACGCTTTCGATTATTATATTATATAAAACTTACAATGTCGGCAATAGTTTAAATGGTCTTAAACTAAAATAAAGTTCAAATGATAAGGACAGCAGTGAAAATAAAGTTACTTATTACCAAATTCGTCTTTGTTATGCGCGTATCCATTATATATCTGCAGCAAATAAAACGTTTTAGCACGATAATTTGCTAAATTCTTGAGAGCAAGTACACCGGTAACAATTTCAATCGACAGGACAAAAATCATGACACGATTTACGAGTATTTCGCTAAATTCTGACAGTATCCCACGATCGAGAAGAAGAAACATCTCTAGAGGAAATCGTATCAATATTGAAATAAACCAGCAGCTTGCCAATTCTGGAATCTGATAACAATTTTTTCTTTACGTCTACAAGCTTATATCGAATGATCAACAAGATAAAATAAAATTACCTTTCCAGAAAGATTTCCAACATACCCCAAATATAATTTTAGAACTTCTGATATCGATGATATTGAAAATACCATTACAGTTATCAATTTGTAAATACTTGTTAAGTTATTGTACTATAAAATAATTAAAACAAATTAATAATAGCTGTTATAATAATGACAATTATTCTATAATAATCGAGCGACAACTAAGCATATGCTGCAAAAATAACACGATATTTACTTTAGCATCCAAGTTTACTATAACGATCAATAGCCATGCTGGAAACAACCAAAGATTTACATATAAGACCATTTGAAAAGGTAAATTGGATCTTGTTTCGTTACCTGTAAAATATTTTATTCCATTTCAAACGAGTGAACAAACTTTGTTTCATAAATGATATTAAATTACTGTTATATTTGTGTACATTTCACCTTACCATTATAATACATTGATTTAGAGAATGTTTTACTTGTAATATTTGTTATTTGATGTTTCCACATTTTTTTCCTTCATTAAGATGGAAACATTAAATTAAAGATATTGTTATCATCCCTAAATAATCGAGTCAAAATATGATTGGAGTAAAAATGAATCAACATAAATACGTATTTTGATTACAAAAAGATACCACGCGACCATACTCTCAGGCGTGCAAATAATTAATAAAAACAGTCATTAAGAATGATCGAATTTCTACATATTCTTTATAATATGCCCTTTACAATATGATATATACATATATATTATACAGTAGAAGTATGTAATATGTAATACATACAATCACTGTATCTCGAATGTTCCCTATTGTTTTCTTCCCTCTCTTATACTCATCCTTCTACATTTGCTTACTCATGATATACATAGATACTACGAAAAAAAAATAAGCCTTTGCAACTATTAAAACGAATATTAAAATTTCACGTTATTTTCGTATAATGCGATGATAAGTCTTTTAAATGTGCGTACATATATTAAAAATTGATAGCAACGAATGTTACGTATTTAACCATATATTAAAATGGAAGAAGCTCTGAACTTTAAAATGATTGATTTGATTCGCGTAGTAGCGTGACATGTGTTTTGTAGTTCCCAGGATCAAGTGAATAAAGTGGCAAAACATAAAACGTTCGTGAAATTTGCTAAAATCTATGCGTTTAAGCGCATGCAAAGTCCAATGTATTGAAATAATTTGTTCTTAGTTTTCAATTGGTCGTTCAAATTTTTTAAAAAAGTTGATTGTTCGTCTAAAAGATAATCTTGACTTATTTGAAAGGAAAGTAGAGGTTATCCGACTTTCAGTATATTCATCTTTGGACAGTGATCATTTGAGAAATGGCTGGTGCAATGCTGTTCGAACGGGCACAAGCAGTCTCGATGACAAATCGTAGCGAGGGTATTTCGCTTTTAAATGAAATCGTTTCCGATCCGAGTATCGGTGTTACCGAAGACGATGAAGATAATATTCGTGTGAAGGAACAAGGTATTTTACATCTTGGCGAACTCTATAAAAAAGAAGGCAAAGCTAAAGAATTAGCGGAATTGATTAAAGCCACTAGACCATTTCTAAGTTTGATCAGTAAAGCAAAAGCTGCTAAGCTTGTGCGATCGCTAGTAGACTTCTTCTTGGATCTGGAAGCTGGTATCGGCATCGAGGTATCTGTGCAATTTTATTTTATCAGATTTTATCAGATTTCAATGAAAGGTGTAAACTAATCTTTTGTTGTTTGTATAGGTTCAATTATGCAAAGAATGTATAGAGTGGGCGAAAGAAGAACATAGAACATTTTTGAGGCAGTCGTTAGAAGCGCGTTTAATAGCGTTATATTTCGATACTGGTATGTACAGCGAAGCTTTGCAGCTAGGTTCGGCATTGCTGAAAGAACTTAAGAAGCTGGATGATAAGCAGCTTTTAGTGGAAGTTCAATTATTGGAGAGTAAAACATACCACGCGTTAAGTAATTTAGCCAAAGCGAGGGCAGCTCTTACCAGTGCTAGAACAACTGCTAATGCAATTTACTGTCCTCCTAAAATGCAAGCTGCTTTAGATTTACAATCTGGCATTTTACATGCTGCCGATGAACGAGATTTTAAAACAGCATATTCTTATTTTTACGAGGCATTTGAAGGGTATATTGTTTCATCAAATCAATTATGTCTTTATCAAATTTCTCGATCACGGAATTTTTGTTAACCAACTGATGTTTATAGGTACGACAGCGTTGAAAGTCCAAAAGCATTAACAGCTTTAAAATATATGTTACTGTCGAAAATTATGTTGCGCACACCGGAAGATGTTCAATCTATTATGTCTGGAAAATTGGCTGTTAAATACGCTGGGCGAGATTTGGATGCGATGCGTGCGGTTGCCGAAGCGAGTCATCGCCGTTCTCTGGCAGACTTTCAGGCAGCCGTAAAAAAATATCGCGAAGAATTAGAAGACGATGTAATTGTGCGTGCTCATCTTGGCTCTCTTTACGATGCGATGCTCGAACAGAACTTGTGTCGCTTGGTAGAACCTTATTCGCGTGTACAGGTATAATAATTATCTGTTTTCTAAGAAAACAATCTCGGATCTCTTTGGGTTTCTTTTTCTATTTTGATAAAACCGCTTCTCATTTTGAATTGTTTTATATAGGTCGGCCATATCGCAGCCTGTATATCATTACCACTCGCGCAGGTTGAGAAAAAACTTTCGCAAATGATACTGGACAAAAAACTTAGAGGTGTGCTCGATCAAGGAGAAGGCGTTTTAATCGTCTTTGAAGATACCCCGCGCGATAAAACTTACGAAATTGCATTAGATACAATACACAGTATGGGGAAGGTCGTCGATACACTTTACCAAAAAGCAAAAAAACTCACTTAGCCTTATTTAATATATATTTTTACCAGTAAAGTTTGTTATAATTATTATTACCATTAACAATCATTTGGTGTCGTTTGGTGTCGTTAAAAATCAAATTAAATTTCATTCGATGTTCATTATGTAATATAAAACTTGTTTCTGCCTCACATACATTTCTACTTCTTTTATAATAATAAATAATTTCTTCGTAAAATTTATTACGAAACAAATATCGCCGAATTCGATCAGAAACGCTTCTTGATCTCCATATATTCACGCGTGTACGCGTGTGCGCATGCGCGTATAAGCATTCAAAAAGCTATATGTCTATATTCCTTTGAACATTTGTCATTGAAAAGTTCCGTCGTCAATATAGAGTCGAAAAAAGGAAAAGAAACTGACAATGAGTCGTTAACGTATATAAAACGCTAAATTTTATTGACTTATACATTTATTTGAAGTATTAAAAATAAAACGAATAATCGTAATATCGTATTATCTTATAATAAATTATATTCGTATACAAAGTGTGACTATTTCATTAAACGTTTTACCTTTTTCTGTTTTTTATTTATTAAATAATTTTATGGATCATTATACTTGTGGATATAAAACGTCATTTACAATATCATCGAAAGAAAATAAAATATCATTTTGTTAAATAAATATTTTATTCGTTATTCGTTGCTACGATTGTTTCTATGTAATCTAATTAGAATTTATCAACATACTTTTCTGTTACGTTGCCATCAGAAGACTGAATTATCGAATTACTATTAAAGTTTCTTCCAACAATAGTATTGTACGATATAAACAATATTTGAGCGTAAACATGAACAAGTAACATATGTAATTATGTACGTACTTATTTACATGCACATATTATACATTTTACTTTGCCATTTTGTACATTATTTCAGCATTTTTAAAATGTAATTACAATAATTGACCGTCCTTTAGCCGGCTCGATTTCAAATAAATAATCTATACTGTGTAAATTTGTAAAATTACTTGAGCTACGTTAATGTTACAGATTCTGATTTGATGGCGTAGTAGGAAGATGTACTACGACTTCCTGTTTGAAGTTGTACATTACAACAAAGAGACAGTGTGGTTATATTTTATAAAGTTTTTTTTTGTAGAGTATATAATGGCGGATACTACTGCACAGAAGGTAAATTATTTGATGTTAAAGTTTTATTTAAAATCAATGAAACACCAAATTGGATGATTCGCGTTATCTACCTGATAAATTGCGAGTTAAAATGTTTAGGTTAACGTAGCGTTCGTCCCACCACCCGGCATTGTTACATCCGAAATGATTCTCGTCTTTCTTTTTAACAACGTTTGAAAACTGTTAACATTTTCTTAATTGCATTTACACGTATCATATATTGAAGTAGATTACGTTTTTAGCGGTTAGCCTTGGTCAGTGATCTCTATCTCGTTACTTGTGAAAAAAATGATATTTCTGTTGAACTCTTTGTAATTTTCTGGATGTATTTACTATCTTGAAGAATTTAATGATTTTCAGTTAGAAAGCTGTCCGGATTTTTATAAGGAATTATTGCAAAATTTAATTGTCGTATCTGAAATGCTTTCCGTGCAGTCATTTTGTTTACATATTTTAAAATATTAAATTTCAAGTCAGTACAGCTATCTTATTTAATGTATTTACCCTTCAAGTTTGTCTTACAGGTTCAGGATTATAAGGATTCTCTTAAAACGAAGGTAATTAATAATAAATACACAACTATTAAATCAACAATGTGTACTTATATTTTCCTCGTTACAAAATGTATATGAGTATGTATATTTGTTTAGGCTGAACAACTTCTATTGAAAGGATTCCCAGAAAAGATTGTCAAGTTGAACGAATTATTGGAAACACCTGGATTTTGCAACAGGAAATTATCGGATGTTCATCAAGATTTAAATGTGCCCATTCCAGACCCTATACTTCTTAATCATTCCGACGATGAATCTGCTACGAAGAAGCGAAAGACGGACAATAAGATAAACGATACCAGTGGGACAAAAGTAATGGTACTACCAAATGGGCCTGTACCTTGTAATAAGCCTTTGTGCGATCTTATTCGCATAGTTAAACCTTATATTCGGCAACTGTTAGAAGATTCTAATTTGGTACGTGTTTTATAAGACGATTTGAAAATAAACTTAAAATCGATCAAGGAAATATTTATTATTGTATTAATATTTGCAGTTGAAAATGTGGATTTCTTTCTTAATCCCAAAAATTGAAGATGGAAATAATTTTGGCGTATCAATTCAGGAAGATACGCTCGCCGAAATACAATCTGTCGAGAGCGAAGCTGCTGCGTTCTTTGATCAGATATCTAGGTAATGCAGATAACAGTATTTTTTGAAGACTAACAAAATATCGAGCATATCGAAAAAAATATTTTTGCTTCGTAGGTATTTTATCTCGAGAGGCAAGATCGTTAGTAAAGTCGCAAAGTATCCGCACATCAGCGATTATAGAAGAGCAGTTCAAGAATTAGATGAAAAAGAATATGTGAGTTTGTGGCTGGTTATGTGCGAGGTCCGTAATCGCTATTGCTCTCTGCACGATTTGGTAATCAAGAATTTGGAAAAGATCAAAAAGCCACGTTCTTCCAATACGCAAGCCTTGTATTAAACGCTACGCACGCTACCTATATCTAATAATGTACAGGACGATATCGGAAAAAAGTAAAATGAAAACATAAGGCGTACACGACAGAGAGGATGTCATTCACGATTTCTTTCGGTAGAAAACTCGAATTTATTTGGTTTTTCGATTGGATCGCCTTGACGTTGACTCATCCGTTTGAGCCATATTCAAAGCGACTTAAAGCGGCACTACAAGTTAAAATCGATGATAACACTACCATCTTTAGAAAAAAAAAAGAAAGAAAAGAAAAAAAAAGGGAAAAAAAATCTAAATATAAAACAAAGTATTTAACTTCGTCGATGAAAATAAATTTTAATCGTGATTTACCCCTTCCGATTAAGTTAACTTCGAATCGTAATATTCTAATTATTCAAATAAATCTAAGATTCTCGATCGAAAATTTTCTTAACTTTCGTAAGATCAATTTCCAGTAATGTTTCCGTTTTGTTTTTGTATATAAATTCAGTCGTTCAATTACGCGATATGTCGAACTTCTAGAAAGTAGATACGAAATCGGTGGGACATTTATTCTTTCATCCAATTAAATCTAAAATATAATTAAGCACATAATCTGTAATTTATCGCTGTAAGGTCATTAGAAGATAAATCAAGATGCGACAAATATTTTACGTAGATAGTATTAACTTAAAACACCCTTTTCACTCTTAGAGACGATATACGATACGAAACGCTTACACGATTTTACTCTTTTTCGAAAATTTGCCTTTTATTTTAATCTGAAACAAAATGACTGTATTAAGAATACGTTTAAGAATATTAATCCATTATTCGTTTTATCTTCCTTAACAACGTTAAGATAAAGATAAGCGTAATAAGAGTAACAATCTTAATAAATGCAAACGCGACTGTAAGTTAATTCAGTGTTACTATTAATCAACGTTATTATTTGAAACTTAAAAATATAACGTCCTATAAAGATTGAAACGATAGTTTGCATTAAAATTTGTTTCGATATTATCGGAATACACGTGACCGTGTAAATTTTCTCATTATTTTTCTTCGAAAAAAATTGGTGCAGAGTAAAGAATCATAAGTAGATAACGTACAAATTCATATATATATATATATATTCATTCAATAAAACGTAATGATAAGTATAAAACGATTGAAATTTATTCGATGAATGAAATTCACCGACGATTCGTGTAACAGACGAATACAAAAATAGATTAAATGCACTTTACTAATAACAATTAATTCTATTACGTATCTTCGAAAAGACCTGGATTGAGGTAACAATGTTTATTAAATCCTATCGATGTTACCATTAGCGTTTGACACTCCTCTTTGGTCGTTCTTTGTATTCGTAATCTTTCATCAACCTGTAAATGATTAGTAACGCTATTGTTGTAAGAAACTTAGAAGACGAATAATATGATACAGAAAAATGTGTTCACCATGTGCAGCAAATCTTCAAGATGAGTTTTATGAGCATGGTTCATAAATACTTCGCATAAAATTTGAATGAACCAACTGCCAGTTATTTTATCTCGAAAAGCCACATGTCCCGGAAGCGTAGCGTGTACAATTAACATGTCCGCATTGTTTCGCATTGTTCCTTTACCATTAATTTTAAGATTCATCATTTCGTCGGATGGACGAATGTTACACGTATCCGTAGTATGTCTGGGTTTTTTCACTAATTTTTGCTTCTTGTCACCTCTGAAATAGAACGAAATTACCTTAAAATATGTTGATATGGAAAGACGCGTTTATTCGTGTAGACAAATATGTACTTGCCTACATAATTGAAAGATAAAAATTTTTGGTTTCTCCGCAAGATGAGGGCAAGCTTCCACGGTAAAATTATTCAAAATATCCGTACACAATACAGTTTTATAATTATGTTTCTTACTATCAGGATTATAATCGACGCCGTGTATTTCTGTAACTTCGTATTCTGTATTTACGTTACCGTGACTACTAATGATAATAAAGCAAGAGTCGACCTTTCGTAGTTCTTTAAGTTGGGAAAATTGTTTTATCTTCTCTAATAGTCCCTTAAAAAAATGTAAACCATACTAGTTTATTTCCTTCTGGAATAACAAATTATCTATGTATATACCTCTCCTGTAAGATTACAATGAGAAATAACTTGAAAACCCATTTGTTCGAACAACTCTTCCAGATTCATTCGATCATGAGCTGCCGAACATCTAGGTTCATAATCCGGATGCTCGAAACGAATATTGGTAATTATTAAAACTAATCCACGAGGTTTACTTCGCATTGGATATCTATGAACATTTTCATACACAGGTCCGTCTAAAAATTTAGTAGCTCGTTGTACTTGTATGCGTAGCGGTACTTCCGACAGTTGCATATTGTTGTAAAAACCATCTTGTACCCTATTTTGTTGACAAATCATATATATTAGATTTCGCTTAACACACGAAAAAGGATGACCAGTCAGTTAATTAGAAATATTTTCTGCATTACCATTCTATGGTCGAAGTTAAATTCGTATCGTCTACGTCGTTAACATTTACGTCATCACCTTGATTTACGTTCCTTTCTATATCTTCGCTCCGAAGCGTGATTTTTCCTTCTAGAATATTTGCCAAATTCTCATGATCACTTTGTTTCAAACTGGTTAGGAAACGATCGAAAGCTAACGGTCCTCGCGTTTTGATCGTTAAGTATATGTCTCGTATAGTAGCTTTGTCCATGAGATTTTCCTAAAAAATATTTCGAGTAGGTCCATTATCGATCCTATACATCGGATACCGTAATTTTAAGTTGTTCATTCTTACCTCCCATCGCGGAATATTTACGTCGTCTCTGTTGAAAACTTTGTTTTCTAGTAATTTTGGCCATAGTTTAATCGCGTTAATTCTAGGTACAATATCTTGGCAATATAAATCTATGGTGTCTCGATGTTTCTGATTCATATTAAACAACGACGAAAAATATCCATGCCTCTCGATAGAATAAATATCTTACACAATTGTTTCGGTTTAAATAATGTCCATTTAATTTGTATGTTTTACAAATTATATTACTCAACACCACAGTTTCGTAGAAATGAAAGGAAAACTATTGTTTATCGGTGCTGACATTCTGCCGCTAGATGACTATAGTGTTTTACGAATCGTGAAACGTACTTGTTTTAATTTTCAAATACAAAGCTGCGAACTTATCGTAAAACCACTTTTCTAACTTTGTCTCGACTATAGAGCAATTTGTTGTGACCATCTGCAAAGTGCAAAAATGCCGTATTTCTACGAAAACAAATCGTAATTTCCTCGATAGTTTCGCATTTGGTTGCTAGACGGCGTTACTGGTGCCGTTTTCAGAGAGCACGCGCGTAAATCCATACACAGTAAATTTGAAAAAACATACAAGGACGAAGCATTCGAAATTCTTTCAGCTTTCTCCTTTTATTATTTCCCAATAAACCATCGGTCATGTTTTACACCTTTTTTTACTAATAATAATTAATAAAAACAGCTATAATAGTTTAATTAAGAATTTAAACTTCAATTTAAACTTAACGAAGTTTAATGAAAAGTAAAGTGATCATCAGGGTTGCTCGATAAAAGCGTTTGAACGAACAGCAAAAGGAACATAACATAAATCGGTAATAGGAGGCGAATAACGATCGATAGCGGTGATACACATACATGTATTTTTATCATGATTTTACCTTCCTCGTTTTTCGTTCTACGTTTCCGACGCCATTTTACGTTGATTACGATGCGGTTAGCTCCTTCCACTTTCCCACCATCATCCTCTCCGTTCGCGTCTCGCCGGAGTTTTCAGCCCCTCCAATGCTTCCTTCTACGAGTTTGCTCGTTCTATACCACAATATTCTCTCTTTATTTGTTTTATTATCCGTTTACTTCTTTTCCATCCATCCTCTCTGCTTTCTACCCTTCTTTCTCTCGCTGTATCGTTAACTACATATGTATATCTATACAGGGTCCACTTTTATTTAAGAGTATTTTATCGATAGTTGCTACGATTAACCTCGAAATTAGCAAAGAAACAAGACAATCTGTTCCTTAAGAAAAATTTACGTAAAGTTAAACGTCGAATAGTTTTGTTTACGATTTTGATCGACGAAATAAAGAAACATCGAAAGAGAAAGTACTCGAGAGAAATAAACGGTACTCACTTTCCGGTATTCGTTCTTCTTTCTTCCCCAGTAGGAGAGGGTGAAAGTTCGAGCAAATGTGAAATGGAATCACGGCGGACTTACTTAAGTACTTAAGTAGTATTTAGTTGCGAGCGCGAAAACAAGTGTACGTTAAGTTAGGAGGAAAGAAGGACGGGAACATAACGTGTGGCGGACATGGTCTAAACGCTCATCGTGTAGATAGCACGTATATCGGAATGCTCGCTTAGCAACGTCCTTGGGGCTGATTGTCCTAGATCTTATTATCCCTTGTTGTTCGAAGGAGGAACCGAGTTACGAGGAAGGATGTAGGTGGTAGCGTGTATGCGCGTACGTTCTATCTATTCGTGTTCATTTCTGCACGTGTTTGCGCGCGCATGTATACCTAGAGGTTAACCCGACGAAGGGTAAAGTCCTCTAACCCCTTGTAGCCGTAGGCCAACCTTGTTAACGCTAATGATGGAACTCGCCACGAGACGCGCGAACGAAACGAGTCGAATGTTTGGTTCCCTGACGTTATTTTCGCGATCGTCTCGCGAACTTACTTACTTACTTGCTTACTTGCGGTAAATTAGTTTACTCGGTAAAGCGAATTTTGTGTCGCAACGATAACACTGATCATCGATAGGGTATCGATAAATATGCATATCCGCGCGTACGTAGAAGGAAGAACGCAGCGGCGGGAAAATAAGGGAAGGTATGGAAAAGTAAGGGCTAGAGAAGATAAATAAAAATAGGGGGTAACCTTATCGTTCCGTTAGTCTCGGAAAGCCATTAGACCGGAAAACGAGGTAGAATCACGGAACGCAATGGCGTCTAGAAACAAACGACGACCGATAGGAGCGAACAAGCAGTGAATCACCTAAGCAGTTGTTTACCAAAAGAATCAAGAATTCAGCAGGGATGCCGTTCCAAGTCTCGGAATCTGGCTCCATCGGTTTTCCAACCCCACTACGACTACGCGCCACTACCAACCAGAGGTAGCGCATCTCTCCTCTTTCTCGTTGGTGAGTTTGGAGCGGAACAGCGCAGCGTATAGCGCGTTCGTCCCTCTGGCACGAGCACGCGACACATACCGAGGAGGAGAAGGACAGAAAGCCAGAATCGAAGGTTGGGAGTTCGAGAGTCGAGAGTGAAAAGCGTGTTAGGGGTAGCGAGGTACGGTTACCGAGGGATAGCGCGAGGGATAGCGCGATGGATATCGCGAGAGATAGAGAGGGATCGCGAGGGACGCGACGAGGGGTGGCGCGGGCCACTGGCAGACTCGGGGAAGGAGAGCCGGGAAAACGGCACTAGAATCGCTAAATGTAATTCGGTTAAAAGGGTTTTAGCAATACAATGCATATAAACATGAGTACCCCGCCTCTGTGCTCGTCCGCACTCTCTCTACTCTTGCGCCACCCTCTAGTTAGTCTCGCGAAACGCCCCACGCGACCGTCCCATTCCTCCGCCCGCAGCAGCCAAGATTTCCATCGTCTGCGCGTTCTAACGTTCTGATCGGATCAACTAATACGAAATCGTCAAATTCTAAAGAACGACGAGGCTGGCTAGCCGGCCGCGGCATTTCCTCGAATCGCAAGCCTGACCTGATCGTGAAAAACATTTCGCATCTGATCGACCCAGCCAGAAATTACTCGATCGAACTTTCTTTTCTCCCTATTCTCGTATCGTGTCATTATTTTCGTAAACTTACCAATCTGACGGAACAAACTTTTTCACGGTTAGATACGTCCTCTGGTAACCGCACCGTTGTCGATGTCATACCTTACCGTCGCTTCGCGTCGATTCGCGACGCGAACAAATCCTTCGGGAGATCCTAGACGTTGGGAATAAGGCGTGTCGATTCTGATCAATTTCATCGGTCTGGCTACGCAACGATCGCGCTTTTCAAACGTTCGGAGGCGCGCGTTAACGAAACCTTGTCGAATATAATTTTTCTTTTCTTTTTCTCATCCCTTCGTGGACGATTGTCTTTTGAAACGGCTTGGTCGGCTTCCGTTATGGCTACAACTAGTAGAAGCAGTCATCCGCGAAACATCGCGGAATTTGTAACGGGGAATTAGCATATCATAAATACTGATGATCCGTCGCGTCGCGTCGCGTCGCTTCGCGTCGCGTCGATCGCTCGAGTGCGACGACTGGCGAGAAACTGGTGTCGCGTTGAAAAATTTGGTAGGAAAGTAGCTGAGCGGTAGTTGACGAGAAGCATAGGTGGTTATCGACGCGGACGGAAAACGAAAGGAAGTATGTATACCGATCTGAGTTTGACTCTTTGGCTCTTCACGAGGTTACGATCGAACGTTTTAGAGAGAAAAGTAGTAAACGGAAACGAACGTTTCTTCTGCAGCTTCGATATTCATCATTTATTTTAGGAACTTGTTGCGGCATAACATAAGACGTTTCTTTCGCATCGCACTCTCTATCCTACACGTATATCAATATTATGTACAGTTATATATCATTTATCATAAATAGGTGCGCGTGATCGATTCGTGTAAATCTAGAATTTAGAGCAACTTTAAAACAGAGTTACGATCGTGTAGATGGAATCTTTAATGCGCGTACTTTTTCTATTTCGTTCGCTTCTGTACAATACTAGGACTAGCAAAATCGGGATTCGGAACTCGTTATTCGTATACGTACAATTTACTTATCGTTCGCGCGTTTGTTCGTTAATCGGGCCTAATCGTGTCTTCGCGATACCAAATAAAACACGTTTACGTAGACGTTTAGTGTTCGGTCTGTAAACTCGTTTAACATAGACGAAGAAACTGTTTAACCGAAAAACTTTGAATCAACTTCGTGCGGACATACATAGTTACTTACATACGCGCACGTATCGTTGTCGATAGTAGCGATCGTGCAATCGTCGATTATACGATAGATACTATTCCCTACGTTTACATACAACTTTTCGATGTAAATAACGGACCACACTTTATGTATGTAATTTCCTTACATCGACATAGAGTATGTAGTAGGTACTTATCTATGTACACGTACTCTGATTTCGTTTTCCTCTCGTTTTAAAGTCTAGACGATGCGCGTATGGACGATAAATCCATTCGCGCATATTTTCTTTTCATACGTTATCCTCTATACGGTCTACGTACGGCGATATTCGTATTAAAATTCGTCCCCGAAAGCGATCGAACGTTCTGTAGAAAATAGCGAAATGTACAGAAGTACGCGCAACAACAACTTACATTATCGTTAGTTCTTGTTTGGCACACTGCTATGTCAGCTATTTTGGTCAGAATTTTATACCACGTAAGGCCGATAAAGTGGTTCCTGTAGTTCGTTCGTACTTCTTTGGGCTTCTTGCAACGTTCCTTTACCATCGTCCTGCGAACTCGGTGAGTTTGGATTCGGATCACTTCCAGCTTCCCTCTCGGTGTTTCTAACGTTTCCACCGTCCTCCATCTTGTTGTTCGCCCGTGCTTCTTGTTGCGCCTTTTTACTTCTTTTCCATTTCATCCGTCGATTTTGAAACCAGATTTTTACCTGCATCCAAACATACTTGTCATATTTTTCAGCGTATCGATTACGAATATCAATTACGTTAACTACAGGAAGGGAAATCTAACGTGGATAGTAGATACGTAGCTACTATATGGAGTAAGCGTTAAAACGGGTAAGTACCAGGGATAAACGGACACTAGGAATACGGCGAAATTAATCTCATGATTCTTCGTGAATGATCGCGAATCTCGTAACTCGTAACTCGGAACTTCTAACTCGAAACTTGAAACTCGATATTTCCTTTCCCAACCCCGCAAGAGAACGATGTAAATCTTTCAGACAACATATCATACGCTCGAACCAACCCGCTTCGCTTCCAGCCCTAGTATATTTTCACCCTTCGAGGGAACCGTGCTTTCTTTTCGTGGTAATAGGTACGCGTTAGAATACAGAATACCGAATATCAGAATACAGAATCACTGAAGTACGAAAGGAGAAAAGGAAACGTTAAAACATTCGGAAAGAACGATCGTGGACGCGTTGACGCATTGCCGCGTTGGCCCGTGAATCTGATACTTTTGCTTTTCGAAAATAACGCTTCTATCGATTACCTAGACGAAAAAACAATATCGAACCAAGCTGTCCTGTTCCTGCCCTCGTTTTCTCTCTATCAAGAGGACCGGGATTCGCGGAAATTAGACAGATACTTGTATCGGAACATGCATCTTAAAGTAAGAAAAAAGAAGTTCGCTTGGATAACTTGCATCGAATATTCGTAAGGAAAAATTTGATATCGCAGTTTCTTACTTATTACGCGTAAAGTTTCTATGAAAATCGCTCGTAATTCGTTCGTTGTACCTATTTAGCAACGCGCTAACTGTTCAACTCGACTGTCACCGCGCAACCACTTAAAGCGTTTACGATTCGTACTTAATCGTTATACGAGAGAAAGAAAGATATATCCGCGGACCAACGGCGAAGCGCGCGAAGCTCGACGCTGGAAAGATAACAGCTCGAAACAGGATCGGTAAAACATCGAAACAAATCAGGGACTCAGTCCGCTATAACTCAGACTTTCGTTACTATTTGCCAAGCGATCCGTCAGAATACGTAAGCTCAAAGTTATGTTTAAGTTGTTGAACTAGGTACGCGAGAGATTCGCTCGTTCGCATTCGTCCCGATGAAAGAGAAGGGTCCTGGATTATTTCACCGATTTCTCTAGAGGCTTTACTCCCTCTTGCTCGATTCTAGTTGCTCTCCAACGTTCGTGACCGCGTAATCTCGTAGCAAGGAATTTCTTCCTTTTGGAAAACGAGATTCCACCGGATTAATAAGTCGTTTGTACGCGTTACTCCATTGTAATGCGTTGCCATTAAATCCGATTTTAATTTCAATCGGACAAAACCCTTACCTGGGTCTCCGTAAGCATCAACGAGGTCGCCACTTCGAATCTCTTCGGTCTGCTAAGATATTTGTTCTGTCTAAATTGTTTTTCCAATTCAAGAAGCTGTTGCGACGTAAAAGCGGTTCTTGGCCTCCTAGTTTTTCCAAGAAGAGCGTGTTGGGCTGCGCAACCTATACAAGTAAACGTATTAACACGCATAATTAGTAGGTAAATTCTTAGCACGTAGTTTGATTTTATGCGGAGGGCAAAAAGCGAGATGAACGGAACGAACAAAGCAAACGAAACGATCGAGAGGAAAGAAAGGGAAAAGGTGTTGGTACCGTTACTCGCTATCGATAATCTCACTGCCTCGTATTAATAACAATCGAGGATAGGATACTAATAAAAATCATCGAATGCTAATGCAATTATCGCGAGTATAAACCCCTATGGGTTGCGATGGCATGATTTGGGGTTGGAAACAGGGACAGAAGAGTAGGGTGACCGCCCTAACGATTAGCCCTATGAACGACTTTTGGCCAGACTCGTACCTCCTTCCGCTACGACGATTCTACGCGCGTAAATCAAGACACGGTTTAATCTCTTTCATAAAATCGACAGGCCACGTTATTAACTATTTAGAAATGTCCTGTAAACTCCTGCGAATGTTTCGTTCTCGATCGGCATCGGTTTAAAAGGAAAACGTTGCGTTTCTCGTTGGGCTTAGTTACTTGCTCGACTCGTCGTTAACACCAGCAAATAAGAATAAATAAAGAAACGAATAGCAAGGAAAGTCGAAAGTAGAACGAAGCAAGATTCACGACACGGTTCTCCGTGTTCTTTCGAACGCGTCGCTTGCTTCTAGCTGACGGTTCAACCCTCCAAGCTAACTAGCAAGTGCGTGACCGGCTGTCAATGTTTGTACACATGGCAGTGTTTAGTCGCGCGTACGCTCAGATTAATCCGAAACGCGCGATACCATTATGTCGCTGTTAATCAGCCGCTTAGCGAAGGTTCGCGACACCGGGGGTGTGCCTATTTCATTTTTCCAACTGCACAAAGGTCTAAGCGAGGTGTTTTCTTTCGCCCGAAACGATGTCCTCCTTCTCCGACTCCCTCTATCGACGAACGGCATCAATTCTTCTTCGAAACCCTACCCTCGTACGCGACGCGTCGCTCGTTCCCGATTCGCAAATAGGCATCTTGTCGTTCGAACAGTTTCGCTTTGGTTATTTACGTTATACATACATAGATATTAATCGTCCCTTTAAAGGGCGGTTTGCCACCCGCTGAGCACATATGGTCCATTCGACCGATTCCCCTATCCCAACAAAGCCGTTTCGTGACAATTACCGCATACTCGAACGATCGCTTCCATTTCTTCGTTCGGCCCGAAATCGTTTATCGTTTTCGCTTATTTGTCGCTTATTTGTCGCTTATTTGTCGAATTTGATGGATCGCGTGGTCGTTCGAGCGAATATCGCGAATGGTTCGAGAAGCGACGGAAACCGATCTCGATTCGTAACATTAAAATCGAACGAATCTAACCGAAGGAAGTTACGTAAACTGTACCAGCGAAAAGGTGGTAGGGTGAAATGGTGCGAGTTATGACAGATGTCGGTAAACAAGAAGGGCGGCACACCATCGAGTGGACAATCACCATTCTCGTGCTCCTCTGTACAGGCTAAAGCGGTAGGGTGCCGTTCAGGTTAACGTCGTTTTCACCCCGCTACACTTTTATCATGATAATTTAATTTATTTGGGGTCCTATTAGCCGCTTCACGCCAGGTCGCCCTTAAATCATGCTGTTCACCGTGCCGGTAAACACTAGCCATTATCTCTACTTAACGCCACTCTCCTCTCTCTTCGCCACCCTTCTTGACACCTCGCCCCCACTCCTTCTCCTTCTTTTCTTTTACTCTCACACTCTCCTTCTTATTTAATTTTCCTTATGAAAATGTTACGTCGGCTCTGGATTCTAGCAAAACCATCATCGGTCGTTTCCACTACGATTCTGGTTCGTTCGTAGTCGTCGATCCGAGAAGAACGATGATTCATCGTTCAGAGAGTAGCTTACCGTTATCCTGTTTGATCTAGTCGGTGTATACCTACATACACGCGGATGTATGCAAATGTTCGTAAAACAAGACACGTCTAGGGTGCATCATTCGATTTTCGCGATAGTTACAATAATCGCATCGCTTTTTGCTTCAGCGATCTTTCCCGTTTCTTCGCTCTCGCGGCATGCTTAGCCTCGCATCGCGACGGTATCCTTCACAGCGCCCCCATCCTTCTTCTCGTTCGGCTGGTTAAGGGCGGTTTGCCACCCGCTGAGCACATATGGTCCATTCGACCGATTCCCCTATCCCAACAAAGCCGTTTCGTGACAATTACCGCATACTCGAACGATCGCTTCCATTTCTTCGTTCGGCCCGAAATCGTTTATCGTTTTCGCTTATTTGTCGCTTATTTGTCGCTTATTTGTCGAATTTGATGGATCGCGTGGTCGTTCGAGCGAATATCGCGAATGGTTCGAGAAGCGACGGAAACCGATCTCGATTCGTAACATTAAAATCGAACGAATCTAACCGAAGGAAGTTACGTAAACTGTACCAGCGAAAAGGTGGTAGGGTGAAATGGTGCGAGTTATGACAGATGTCGGTAAACAAGAAGGGCGGCACACCATCGAGTGGACAATCACCATTCTCGTGCTCCTCTGTACAGGCTAAAGCGGTAGGGTGCCGTTCAGGTTAACGTCGTTTTCACCCCGCTACACTTTTATCATGATAATTTAATTTATTTGGGGTCCTATTAGCCGCTTCACGCCAGGTCGCCCTTAAATCATGCTGTTCACCGTGCCGGTAAACACTAGCCATTATCTCTACTTAACGCCACTCTCCTCTCTCTTCGCCACCCTTCTTGACACCTCGCCCCCACTCCTTCTCCTTCTTTTCTTTTACTCTCACACTCTCCTTCTTATTTAATTTTCCTTATGAAAATGTTACGTCGGCTCTGGATTCTAGCAAAACCATCATCGGTCGTTTCCACTACGATTCTGGTTCGTTCGTAGTCGTCGATCCGAGAAGAACGATGATTCATCGTTCAGAGAGTAGCTTACCGTTATCCTGTTTGATCTAGTCGGTGTATACCTACATACACGCGGATGTATGCAAATGTTCGTAAAACAAGACACGTCTAGGGTGCATCATTCGATTTTCGCGATAGTTACAATAATCGCATCGCTTTTTGCTTCAGCGATCTTTCCCGTTTCTTCGCTCTCGCGGCATGCTTAGCCTCGCATCGCGACGGTATCCTTCACAGCGCCCCCATCCTTCTTCTCGTTCGGCTGGTTCTTCCCGACTTCCGTCGATGGGTGGCGGGCAATCGCGAGTGCGCGCGCGCCTCATCTTTCTCCCTCTCCTTGTCTCGCGGAGCAGCGGAAGCTCCGCCTGCAGCCCCCGAGTTCCCGATACGACCCGCCCCCGAAAACCGAACCCTTCGTATAGGAGGCGAAGCAAGACAAGCGAATCTAACGTATCTCCCTACGTTCCACGCTCTGCACTACACAACCTGCACTCTGCACTTTGCACTTCTGCGCTTCTGCGCTTCTGCGCTTCTGCACAATGCGCTCTCGACTCTAAAACGTCATCGAATATCGTTTTCCTTCGTTACAGTCAGAGATTCGCGAAAGTTGATGACGTATAATATACGATGTGCGTAGACGTAAGTAATATGCATAGCGAAGAAGTAAAACTTTTGTCAAAGATTATTTTTCCTATCCCGAGTCGGGGTCGGATTTAATTTGAAACTCCCCTCGTAAACTCACCGCAAATCACGCCGTAAACATTCGAAATGTTGCCATCTACTTTTATCATCGGACTGCTAACTGAAATTGTTTCGCGTTCGTTCTCTCTCCTGTCGTCGCTATCGTCTACAAATGCGATATTCCTCTTACTGTTATGGAAGTAGATTTATTATTAATCCGACGCTTATACCTTGGCAGCGTATTATTACGCGTTTCGAGAATACGTGGAATCGTGTTTCGTATTCGACGGGAAACGCGTAAGTAAGCGCTGCACGGGGACTACGACACGATCAGACCAGATCATAGAGATATAGGATTGGTTCGGGCGAACGTGGAACGTTACACATCGGGTAACCAAGATCTGTTTGCCTGCGGCCGGCCAAACTAGCTGACAGCTAATTCAGAAACACCATTACCGGTTATATGCCTATAGATAGGTAGACTGACGCGGTGACGACCACCGCCAACGCAACCACCAACCAACGTTCTCAACGTACTTTCACGTATTTACCGACGGTTCTGCGTACACACGCGCGTACATAGATACTCTGTTCGTACGCGTCTTTGATTTTGTCGCAAACGCGTTCTGCTTGTACACTCTTTCGCATATCCGTATATTCCGTATTATAATTAAGGGTTCCGTCTTCATCGGAATGCGTATATGTACGTACATCCTTTAGTTGACTTTATCGTAAGGTTACTCTCGCTTTCCACTTTTCTCGAATCCTCTAATTATATGTATGTATACGGAGAATACACAAGAGTTGGGCGATCGCAGCCCTCGTTGGATCCGGAAAGAAAGCAAACGAAACTCGGTCAACGGATCGAATCGATTTACGTTTTTGAATCGTTTCAAAGGCGAGTGAAATTAACCGTTAGAACCGTCTATATAAGTCCACGGAGTTTCCATGGTAACCATGAAACGTCTGCGTCGGCGTTATGCTATCTCGCCGAGAGAAGGGCGAAGGGGATGAATAGACGGATGAATGACGCACAATTAACTAATTAAATCATCCACCAACCCTTCGCGTGCTTCATCTCTCGGGTATCATCCCCTTTTGTTGGCAGACCTCCTACCATCTCTTCGACATCTTCCGCCATTGTTTTTCCTGCGCGTGTCGTAGTACTTGGCCAGCTCTTGGCGAAACAGGGAACGGGAAAACACGATGTGTACAACGTTAAACAATCGATTTCGAAACGGCGCGGCGGTCAATTACAGGAACAAAATGATATTATGGAGAACAGCGGAAAAAAAGGAAGGAGGTGCGGAACAGACGAATTTCGTATAAGCTTATTTTCCTAAAGAATTTAGCGAGCAAACGATTCGACTGACTGATTCAAGGGAATAAACCATATAGGGGGTAGGTAATGCGCGTTGAAACTCCGTCGGATAAAGCCCTGTACGGGAGGGGCACTGGGAGACGTTACCGTAACAAAATATTATACTTTCGCGCCAACCGTACGCAACGATATCGCGTAAATAGAAAAGTTGAAACATCGCGTTTCGGTCGATTTCGATTAATCCGATTTCGAAAGTAAACTGCTCCCGCGTATGCGGGTAGACGCGTACGAGGTACAGTTTTCAATGTACACGAGGCAGAGATATCGGCATTCGGGAATATATCGAGGGCAGAAAATCGCGAATACCCCGTGCTCTCTTTCATCTTGGATACCCGTTTCAAAAAGAATGGAATACGTCGTTGTCGCGGCGTTCATTCCCCGGCACAACGCGCGACAAATAGATCATAAATAAAAATGTCCATACGCGTAGTCTTTTACTTTCACCGTACTTTCCTGTCAGTTCACAGTGCCGAACCGATCGGTCGTGCACTCATCGTTATTTACCTGACTTCCAAAGCATACGAGGGTGCGACGGCATAAGAGCAAGAGAGGGACAGCGAGAAGCGAGAGGGAAAGAGAGACACAGAGAAAGAGAGAAGGACCAAAGAGCACTTCCGTCCAGCGATTTTTTAACAAGTCGGGTTCGTGTTCCCCGCCAACGCGATAACGGTCGCTTCAGGTGGGGCTGAACGCGATCGTTTTATTTTATTCCGCGAGAGCGCTTTTTTGTGCTCGTTGCTCGTTTTACGCTATCGGGTTTTCGCCTTTTTCGTCGACGTTGGATTGCTCGGCAACTACCAATCAGGATCATCTGACAGAAAGTACCCCGCACTCTGCTCCGAGTACCCCATCCCCGCTCTTGCTCTCCCGCCCCGGCTCCAACCCCTTAACCATCCTCTCTCGCTCGCTCATCTCGCTCCTTTCCGTGTCCATCCCCTTCTCGCTCATGTACACCCGCGTGGTCCGTTTACTCGCCGCCATCCCTGTGTTCTCGCTCTGTCGAGCGTGCGCGCGATCTCTCTCTTTCTCCTTCTCTCCGCATCTTCGTTCCCGCTTATTCGAATTCGGTCCATCTCGGTAACCCGGCTCGCTACGTTCACTGACCAATTTGTTCGATAAAAGCTCTCGACTGATTAGTTAGACGACGCGACGCGGCCACGTTTCGGTTTCTTTTCTTTCTTCTTCGCATAAAATTCATCGCGGTGACCGGCATATCGTTACTTTCTTTCTATGCTTTCTTCAATTCTTTAGCTACGCGTTGCGTCTTCTTTTCTGCGTCGCTACCGCGTCGTTCTGGGTCGCGAGTAATCGCGTGGGGTGTTACACGTTTTCCACTTCGAGTAACCCGTCTAGGTAATTATATTAGTCTGGATAACGTTTAAGAAACGCGTTACGAAACCTTTTTGCAGCCTTTTCCGTTATCGTTCAATAGCCAGCTCGAAAACTCGAGTAACCGATCAATATAGGTATACGCGTATCTACATAGCGCGGTAAAGCATTACATTAGACATGTAAACATCGGTTATCGGGCTCGTCGTACGAGCAATCTGTCCACCTATTTCAGGAGATCGTGGTCGTTTCGCGACGATATTAGATAGCGCGTTAGGTAACAGATGTAAGGGGTCAAAAAGATGAAAGAGAACGAGTCGTTCGGACGGTTTAGTTATTCGGAAACAGAGTTATTCGGGGAAGATCGGGGAAGCCGTAAAACGTACTCGGAAGCACGGGAACGATTAACTATACGACCAGTGACGTATCTTGAGTACACGTTTCTCAAGAGATATCGTTTCGTTCGAACGCAGCCGAATCGGCCTAATCGAATTTTTCCTCAAGGAGAATCATTATCAGGCTAAACCACGTCGGTTATCGTATACTCTAGATTGCTTCATCCAACTGCTTTTGAATCGCTAACGCGTTAAATCTTTTATCTGAAAGCGAACAGGGTGAGTAGCTAGAATTCTACATATGTACGGTGTGCGTGTAGAGATCGAGGAGCAAGAGGTAATGCAAGGGCGGGAGCGAAAGAGAACGGTCGGAAAGAAGAAAGAAAGGGGTTTAAAACGCGCGAAAGGAACGAGCGACGGCGCGTTAGCGAAGAAAATGGACATCGAGTGTATCGTGGAAAGAAGAGAAAGAATCGGCGCGACTTGGTGGAAAAATGGCAAAGGAACGGTGTATCGGTGATAACTCACCGGCTAAATCGGCGGGTAGCCTCGGATACAACATTCCAGTTCTGGCTAACCACTCGAGTTGAAGAGGATGAATATGATGTTGCTGAGGATGAGGTCCAGCAGTTTGCGAATGTCCAACGGGTTGAGTTTCCTTGTGTATAGAATGAAACGCGCTACCGCTCGCCGGATGGTAATATAATCCTCCGGGGTGAATAAGAGGGCCGGTCGGGTGCAAGAGAAGAGTTTGATTTTGCCGAGCTATAGCGGTACCACCGGCACTGGCCAGTGCACCGTAGTGGCTGCTCTGTAAATTCGGATTACCGGGGATGCTGTTGCTACTAGGTTCCTCGGAACCTGGGGAAATCGGTGGACTCGAAACTGGGCTACGACTCGCGTTGCTTCCCGAGCTAGCGCTTCCCGTCCTCGTGCGATCAATTTCGATCGAAGCATCGTCGTCGACGTTTTCTAATCGATCGATCGGAAATCCTCCACCGGCGACACCGATCTCTTCGCTTTCTTTCAACATTGTCTTACCTCGTTGAATCGAAATCGCGGTTGCATCAATCGTTTCCGCGCGATCCGCGCGACCCTCCAACAAGCGAACGTCGCGTACGGCTCTCTCTTGTCTTTCGCTATCCTCGCGAACAATCTCCAACTTTGGCGAATTCGAGACTCGTTGAATCGACTTGTCGAACATCGGACTCAATATACTTCCCATAGAAGGTGTCCTTTGTTCCTCCGTTCCAATAACCGTGATACCGGTTCCGGTTCCGATCCCGATCCCGATCCCGATCCCGACTCCCGTTCCGCTTCCGGCAATGTCCCCGCTCCCTAACCCTGTTCTTGTTCCTGTTCCTATTCCTGCTCCAACTCCGCCGCTGGTTCCTGTTCCGCTCGCGATTCCGGCTCGAATACAAGACGATTCTTGTTCGTGACTTCGACTCAAACAATTGGTTAAACAAGGATTGCTTTCGTCCGCGACGGAATGTCGAGTTTCGAACGACAATCTTTGGCTCCGTTCGGATCGATCGTAATCGAGGTTGTCCTGCTTGCCGGTCGCGCGGCCGAGAAGCGCGTCGATGCAAAATGACGTTTTTCCAAAAGAATTGTGACGCCTATCGGCCGTGTGAATCGTGTATTCGTGCGGGGAAGTTCTATCGGGCGAATGACTCTCCGATTCTCCGTAGTGGCCTGCCACCGCGGACACCATATCCTCGGTGAAACACGTTACGCTTCCATTCTCCGGATCTCGAAGGAAATTCGTCGATTCGTGGTCCTGCTTCGAAAAGGAGGATCGTTTCGTATCGAGTTCCTCGCGGTATCTCGACATTCGCGATTCGTCTTCGAGCTCCGACGGAGATCCGTTTTCCAACAAGCGTCCTATGTTACCGGGAGATTCGATCGTTTCGTTTTTCTTTCCGGTAGCGATGGCGGCGGCGGCGGCGGCGGCACCGGTGG